CCTCTCTCTCTCTCTCTCTCTCTCTCTTCCACCCTAAAAGGGAGGTTGAAATGTGCCCTGCATGTTGAAATGTGCTCCGCATTTTTTCATTTCTCTCTCTCTGCCCCCAAATCTGTTCTCCCTCTTTCTTTATTTTCTTCCATTTTTTGGGATTTCTCTTACTTTCTTTCAATGTGTACACCACTCGGCCTATTCTACTCGGATTAGGCTGAGCAACTCGGCTCGGGCAAGGGCAGAGTCTGATGCCCGAGCAATATGAATTCCTGAGAAATGTTGCTTTGATATGGTTTTCACTATGGTAAGATCTAATGCTCAGTTTGGATTGCCTACTTGATTTGAACTTAAGCAGAGTCTAGGTTTGAGAACACAAGTGTGGGCGATTTTATTTGCATGGTATAAGATTTTTGATACTAGAGGAGTAGCCCCTTAAGCTTCCGCCTAGGGGTATACAGCCCAGTTTGGGTGAGGGAGGTCAAGGGTTCAAAACCTTGAAGTCTGTCTCAAACCACCAAGCAAGTAGTGCTAACGGAGTAATGGTTGCCAGGTTCAAGAAGTGTTGGAAGAAATGGGTCATCCTGCCCTACCACTTAGTCTCATCTCCAAGGCTGCAGAGATTCAATTTCTTGATGTTGTTGACAGAGTGCTTCTGGGGAATAGATGGTTAAGAAAGGCTACTGGGATCCAGCCAAAGTTTCCCTATCTGGTCGATTCATTCGAAGAAAGGTATGCTCACAATTTCTTCCATTCAAAAACATGTACAATTCCATTTCATCCGGACTCCTTGCAATCCATTACTTTTCTTCTTTGTCGGGAGACTTTTAAATGAGGAACCCTAGATATTTGAAGGCCATTGTTGAGGTATTAAGGCATTATGCAGGAGTGCAGCTTCCCTTCTCAAGGCCACAGAATCAATCAGCTCAGAAAGCAACATCTCCATCTCGAAAACGGATTCTAATGGCTCCTTAGGTTTTGAGCCAAACGAAAGCAATGAACACCTAGGGACTGAGAATTTGAGGCCTTCACCTTTTGCCTTTCCCTTCAGAGACTGGTTTTCTCGATCCGCACAACCTGAGAAACGAGATACCCTGATGAAACCCAATTCGAGGTTTGAAATCATTTTTTTTTCGCCATTTTTATTGTTTTGGAGGAATGACACCATGGATGTGTTGCTTTCCATTCTATTCAAATGCATACTATAATCCCATTCATAGTTATCAAGATCAAGTCGGACCAACTGGTCGAACCAGTCATACTGTTAATTGGTGCTTGGCTGGTTTGGCGCAAAACAAAAATATGATTGGGTTGGAAACCAATGTTTAACCGGTTTTGGCGGGTTGGACCAGTTAAACAAAGTTGGGAACTTTTTTTTAGTGATAGGTTTTGTATCTTTTTTGGTGATATGTTTTGTATTTTTAAACTATGATTCTTAGTTTTTTTTTTTTTTTGATAGTCCGGTCCAACCGGCAGTCAAACTAGTTTTGACTGGAATAGGCCCTCGTCGGTTCAGTGGATGGTCCAATCCTGCTAACATTGATCCTATGCACTAGAGAAGCATGGTCCATTTCATTGGGATCATTGTTGTCCAATGTGATGGATGGTGATGATCCCAATGGACGACTATGATTTTCCATAGTCCATTGTATGGTAGTATATTTCCTCCTATAAAGTATGAGGCTGTATGCATGTATTCTCTTGTTTGATAATTAAGCCTGTAGAATTTGAATTTAAAACTTGAATTGATCAACCTGATTATTTGTTTATAGAATGCAATCAAAAGCTGATGAAGCTGGAGTCAATCCCCTCCTCCCAAGGATCACAATGGTTGGCATATCAACAAGCGAGGCAGGTCGTGTGAACAAATTGAACTTGAAGAAAACCATGGAGGAACTCACACAGGAATTAGAGCAGAAAAGCCAGAAGCTAACTGAACATGATGAAGAGAAGGATCCCCTCTTCGTGGCTAATGTGGGTGATTATTCAACTATAACGAGAATGGGTTCACCCTGATTGTTTAGGAAGTCTTTTGAGTGTGGACAAATATAATTAAAGACAGTAAAACAGACTTTATGGTGGGGGAAATGCTAATGGCATGAGGGTCATATTGAAGCGGAATGGTCAGCAAAGAATAGAATTTGCCCGAGAAAACCAATTTGATCACAGGTTATTTCGAAGTAGAGATTTAGCGGTGGGGGGGCTCTAATCTAATTCAAGAGAAATCTTTGAGCTAATTGAAATCTGTATAATCTTCCTGTGTATTTAGGTGTACTCTCTCTCTCTCTCTCTCATAAATCTGTAAGCTAATTGCATTGTATAATCTTCCTTTGTATATACAAACCTCTCTCTCTCTCTCTCTGCTATATATTATTGCTATTATTATAAATAAAATTAATAATATTGAGTCCACATGGCATGGTATTCCTACTACATCTTGAGCTGTTTCTATATCTGGCAAATTATCCACTAGCGAGTAGATTTATTTTCTTTTATTTTTTTTCTCAATAAAATGCATGGTATCCATGTGCCCCCAAAAGGAGGGCATTCCTCCTTGATTATTGGTAAAGATGGTTTAGGACCTCAAAAATTTGTTCCTTTTCGGGCCTCCACTTGCTAGAAAGAGGTGGGCCATACAATCTCAGTCTCTTTATCCATGGAAGATCTCTTTTTAACTCTTCCACTTCCAACTTGGACAACACTCCTACTTCCACTACTGCTTATTCAACCACCAAGATCTTCACAAAACTAACGGAAGGCCTCCTAATGTGATCTTCACAAAACTAACGGAAGGCTCCTAATGTGCGTGAGAGAGAGAGACGAGGTTTATATATATATATATATATATATATATATATATATATATATAGTAGGTGGTGTAGTAGTAGTAGTACGTACTACTAAGTTACGACACTACTACTAATTAACTAATATTATTAT